TGGCCCCCATGCGTTGTTGGATGTATCCGATCATGAAAACCCAGTAAGTTCTGATGTTAGTGAAGAAAAGATAGATGAAGTTCTTTATTTTAAAAAGACTGGACCAGCTAGAGATTCAACTCAAGGTATTGACACTGATGCTTGTAGCACTGTTGAAAGCAAACCTCAGGATGATATGGAGAGTGTATTAAATTCCCAGAGCATTGTAGTTTTGCTTTCTAAACAGTGTACAATAAAAGGAGTCATTTGCAGACATAGCCATCTTTCTCGCATAAGATATTATGGGCACTTTGATGTATCACTTGGACGATTTCTGAGAGACATTTTGCTTAATCAGGTTTCACGCTTTTATCCGATTAGTTTTATTGATAGTACATACCATTTCTTCATTTTGAATTGAACTTTAATGATGGAAATGTATGCTTCTGTTGCAGAAGAGTTGTTCTTCTTGTGGTAAACCACCAGAAGCACATATGTACTCTTACACCCATCAGAATGGGAACCTAAGTGTGCATGTCAGGAAACTTCCTCCGATGTTACATTTGCCAGGTGAAGCTGAAGGAAAAATTTGGATGTGGACCCGTTGTTTGAGATGTAAGGATGGAAGTGGGATTTCCACAAGAAGGGTGGTCTTGTCTAGTTCAGCACGTTATCTTTCATTTGGGAAGTTTTTGGAGCTCAGCTTTTCATGCCATTCTGTGGCTAGACTATCAGAATGTGGACATATGCTGCACAGGGATTTTCTTCGGTTTTTTGGGTTAGCCCATCTTGCTTCTGTTTTTGTTTGGAGAATTATGTGTTTTCTGTTCTTTGAATGTGATTATCTTTATGAATTTTTGAAAAAATGCAGATTAGGATCCAAGGTGGCAGTGTTTGTTTATTCATCAGTTAAGATCTATGCTGCTTGTAAGCCACCACCAGTCTTGGACATCAATAATCCAAAAAGACAAGAGTGGCTCAGGAGAGAAATGGAAATTGTATGCAGTTCTTGTTTGTTCAGTGCCTCTATTACATATTTCATAGCTTTCTTTGTGTGATGGTACTGTAAAGTATGATCATTGTGTTTGACTTTTATAATTTTTCTATTTAAGCTTCTTTATCGAGGACGCGGATTATTCTCCGAAGTTTCAAACTTGTTGCAGAACTTGAAGCCTATATATTCTGGCACACTTGCAAAACAATGCGCGGAAGTTTCAGGTTCACTCAAAAACTTATCTGAAGTTGAAGAGATGCTGATACAGGAAAAGGCTGAATTTGAGGTTGTAATGGTGCTTTATAATATTCTCTGTATTTTGAAGCATAACGTTCCTGTCACTGATTAAACATCATAAGATATTTATAATATTTTTCTCAAACCTTTTTTGTCAACCATTTAGGCTCCTTTGCTGAAGGCAGTAGATCATAGTGGACAAATTGAGATCACTCCTCATGAGATTCTTGGACTAAAGTGGCTATACCAGGAGCTCCTTTTTGAGTTGTATGTTTGGGACTGCCGTTTGGGTCGCCTTTTGCAGCATACAAATTTTCAACAAGGGAAAGATATACTTGTACATGATGATGAAGTCCCCAAGCTGCCTAGTCATGAAGATGAACCACCCCGTTTCACTGGTAGCCATCATGCTCAAGACATGAATATTAATCTTGATATAGAATCAACAGAAGCTTCCATCGTAACAAGCCATAGCGACTATAAGCTTCTTGATATTGGACCTGTTGAGGTGGAGCGGTCAACTGATCTGCCATCACCTTCTGAAGGTAAGCAGAGTTGTCAGGTAGTATGTGTACCTATATCTGGTGATCTACAATTCGACCACTCTATACAAATTGTAGAAGAACCATATATTGAAAAGAAAACTGATGTTGAGCTTAAAAAGGATGAGAAAGTTGCTGGTGGTGAAATACTTGCTGCATCACTGTCGAACGAGCATTCGAACATTTTAGATGGCATTTATGCAAAATCAGAAGGTCCAGAAGAAATGATCTGGGCTTCATTTTCTGATCTGAAAAGAGAATACAGAAGGGACCTCCATAGTGGTTCATTACATAAGTTTGAATTTGTTAATACCTATAGTCCATTTCACCTGTCTCCAATTTACCAGCCATCTAGTGGTGAAATGGACTTGTTGCACTATTCAGTTGGTCCTAACGGTACCATTATTTCTGCTTCCAAGGATGAGATATCAAGCATAATTGCATGTGGACTAGCTATATTAGAAGATCAGCATGGCTTGTTAGACAGGGTTGGAAAAGAATCAGGGGAGATACATAAATCTTATAGCTTGACATCTGTGAATTCTGAAATTTGTACATACTGGTCTTCTGTTGGATATTCAGAGTCTGGAATCAATTTGTCACGTGGTGCTTCCTCACTTTCATTTGATGAGTCATCTACCTCCATTTCTGATGGTTCATTATCTGTTAATCAACTGCTACCTTCAGAAAATCTGCATCCTGAAGTCACTGTGGGAATAGAGAAGGTTTCTGGGAAAAGTATATTCTCAGTAGTTTGCATATATGCAAAGCAATTCTATAAACTTAGAAAGAAATATTGTCCTTCTGAACTTTCCTACATATGTTCCCTAAGCCGTTGCAAGAAGTGGGATGCTCAAGGTGGGAAGAGTAAAGCTTTTTTTGCGAAGTCACTGGATGACAGATTCATAATTAAACAAATCAAGAGGACAGAACTGGATTCCTTCTTAAAATTTGGTCCTGATTATTTTAAGCATGTTTTTCACTCAGTAGATTCAGGGAGCGATACTTGTCTCGCAAAGATCATGGGAGTATATCAGGTTTATCGAGAAACATATGCATTTTCTGATTTTCTGCCTGTATATTTTTCTCGTGTTCTTTCTTTCTAATCCAAGCAATATTTTTGTAATCACAGGTCCAGCAAAACATTGGTGGCAAGGAAATCAAAACTGATCTTATGGTGATGGAAAATCTACTTTATGGGCATAAAATTTCACGAATATATGATCTCAAGGGCACTGTCTTTTCTCGGTACATTCCAGATGCAAAGCATGGTGAAAAAGTTCTTTTGGATCAGAACTTCGTGGAGGACATGGATAAATCTCCCATTTATGTTAGTGGGAAGACTAAACATCTTCTGCAACGTGCCATTTGGAACGATACATCTTTTCTTACTGTAAGTTTGCAGCCAACTGCTTATATTCAAAATTTGCTAGTTGAATTTATAGATATTGAGTTTAATTTATGCTGTTAAATTTACAGTCTATAAATGTCATGGACTATTCTTTACTCGTTGGAGTGGATGATGAGCGACAAGAGCTTGTGTTTGGAATTATAGATTATTTGAGGCAGTATACCTGGGACAAACAGCTTGAGACTTGGGTGAAAGCTTCAATGGTTGTTCCTAGGAATGAACTGCCAACCGTTATTTCTCCAAAGGAGTACAAGAAAAGGTTTAGGAAGTTTATGGCCAGATATTTTTTGGCAGTTCCTCTTAGCTGGAACTGTGATCACTGTTCACCCTCATGCATATTCTGTGTTGATAGCAAGAGGAATTCAGCTAAAATACACAATGCAGAGCTGCCAGAACAGTCATAACATGTTTTCAGCCACTACTGAAGATCCTATTATACCCACCTTATACTGTAAAACTTGAATTTCTTTCTGATTCTTTGTTGTACTTGTTCTCATAGTATTGTACATCCTTGTTGCTTGGTCCTTGGACCCCCAATATTTGCAATTTTTTTAGCAAATTCGTGGGTTAAGTTAGGCCCATAATCTGTACTCAGATATATTTTGTCTGATTTTCAATTATTTACGGCAGTCATTGAGATATTCTTGATATTATTCTTTATGTTTGTGTTCACTATGCATGTCATTGAATAAAAGCTGAGAATTTCTTATGGAAGATCAAATATCATTTTCATTTTCCTTCAATTTATACAGAAGATGTGTTATTTCATAGATCTGGCACTAGATTTCTAAGTTCTAACTGTGTTGCTTTTTTGTTTTGGAGCAAATGCCATCAGAAAAATTTAATCTTGGAGTTTGTTTGCAGTATGACTAGGATCCAAATTCAATTTTCTGCCAATGTATTGCTTTTGAAAATATTCTTATTGATGGCTCGAACCTCTTGTAATGTGAGATTATTTCTGTATACATGTTAATACAATTGGGTATAGTCAAAAACAGAAATTGCTTCTTTTATTTTTATTCAGATTGTTACTCCAATTGTCTCTAGAGTCAGTCTAGTTGTATCTTTGGTGTTATGATCTTCTTCTCATTTTCTATTTTGATCATTGTTTCAGAACATCTAGCAGGTAGTAGAATCGGTGCTTCTCATTTGTAATTTCAAGTTATTTGAGAAGGTCACCACATCTTATCGTATTACATTATGTGCACAATCATCAATGTGATTTTCCTTCATTAAGGTAATATCTTATGTTACAGTTGTATGTTTGCAGCATACCTCATTTATATTAGACTTATATGATTTTCAAGTGATGCTTGTTGGTAAAGCCTACTGCTGAGTTTTCATACCACCGCATCAACAAATTGCCAATTAATGAGCTTAATCACCATGGCATGCTTTGTATACCCAAGAAAGAACAAAATTAACATATCTTGTTGGCTGTCCTTGTCCTTTTATTGTTCTTTTTTCTTATATTCTTAAGATTAGCATAGGCAAGATTTTATCAGTTTGTAACTTTGGTGACTTAATTTCTTATGCTGCTTTAGGTACTGGAGAGTTCAAAGGATTCCACTTCTTGGAGCTGCAGTATCAATCATTCAGTTGATCAGGGCTTCAGGTGGTTGGATTAGACCATGCTGTATTTATGATATTCTGTGTAAATAATTTAAGAAATTCAAAGAACAAGTGGCATATTTACCAGTGAATCCCCTGTTGTTAATCATTTGTATTTCTTGCAGGTGATTTGACTCTGATGACTATTGAGCTTGTCTGGTTTGGTGATGACATTTTTCATATAGTTGAACAGTTTCAATGTTGAAAAGGTGAGTTATGAATTTTCTTTCATACTATAAATTATAAAAATATTATTTATCCTCAGTTCCTGACAAAACTTTTACAGGTAGGTGTTCAGAGGTTATTGCTTGTTTAAAAATCTTTTGGAGGTATGTTTCCTGATGCTGCACCTGATATTGTTACAATTAAAAATATATAGCAGTAACACAGGCATAATTTTAAGAGTAAGCATTAGGCATTCTCACATATAGCCTTTACGTGCAATGCAAAAGACGTGCTATTTAATAGAAACAAAAACAGAAATATAGTAAAAATACAAATATGGGTAATTAAGATAAAATAATTTTTTTGCAAGTAAGAAACATAAATATACAGAAAAAACAATATACATTAGGGCAAGTAATCTATAATAGCATATTTCTTTACCATCTTTGGGAGTAAGTATATCCATATATAATTGGTCTATATTTATGACTACATATTAATCTGGTCCTATTCATCTATTTAAGAACAAGGAATGAGTCAATTGAAATTGAGTAATAAGGATGTATATGCTTACATTAGCTTCACTCTGCTAGCTTGTTAAGATATCTTCAGCAAATTGGCTTATAGAACTACTGGGTCAGACTGAGAATTGGGTTGATGATTTAAGGTAAATTTTTCTTTCTTTCTTTTTATTCTCAGAATAATATTTAGTTGGTTCCAATTTCCAAGCCAACTTGAGTACTTGACTCCACCTTTAAGATTTTTGTAACCCATACTCTATTGGTGAACCAGTTTAAAAGTGTCGGGTTGGATTGACTTGATGGGTTTGAGTCAAGATCTTTACTTCTAGTGTCTCTTTTTTTCATTTGGAACAAAAAGGAGAAATTTGATTTTGAATACACAAGGAATAGGCAAAAGAACATTTGAGAACAACAAGCAAGCAGTTCAATCATGAGGCCCAAGGGCCATCACCTTTTCCCCATGGACATTTTCCTTCTTTTTGAATTATTGCAGGAACTCTTAACACATTGCTAGATGTCACTTTATGTAATTTTCTTCTTGATTTAACTTGGCTGCGTTCCAATCATGCACACATGAAGTCTCAAGACGGACCTGTGCCATATGAAAGTGGTTCCAGCTTCACACGTAGTACGCTTATAGCAGTAGTGGGCTGCACTGGTTGTCATTTGGTAGGACTTCAGAGTCATCCATGTTGGAAGATATTAGGATCGTGTCTAGATTTATGGCCCATGAAGCTAAGATATTTGAAGGAAAAGTCTTTTGTTTCATATGCTTAGCGATCTGCAATCCATTGTTATTGGTGGATTGGTCATAGTGATGCCTGCATCAAGTTCTAATCATTGATTTCAGCATAGAATTGGCTTCTACATTGCATCATAATGGCCTTTGATGACGCAGCCGGGCAAGAAGATGCTACCTTTATTGTTTTTGTTCCATATCTGAGATGTTTTATAACAAAATGCAGGTAAGTTTTGTGCTGATGAGCCACATATCACGTTCCAGGGGATCAAATTTCTCTATTTTGAATTCCTACGGTACATTACTAATTCATGTATTCCCATGTAGTCTCATCACATATCTGGAAGCCTACCATCCAAGGAAGGCATCTGCTAGCAGGCACCATCCTCTATAGACAGCTCGGACAAAGGATGAGAACTTGTGCAGTTTTCTTCTTCAGGTACTTCCTCTAAATATGGCTTTGTTGCTTCCAGTTCCAACCTGCTTTTGCTGATGGATGCTTCTGGTTGGATTTTTGGATCCCCTTCGGAGTAGGTAAAAATCAAAGCATTGCTCATGATGAAATAGCGGTTGTTATTCTTATCATAATTATCAGTACATGAAACACCTCTTCTAGGCTAACAGTTAGTATACCAGAGGAGATACGGTGTAATTTGGTAAGAAAAATAAGAGAGATTGTATCATTTTCCTTTGATGAATCAAAGTATCACAATGACAAAGGATTTTTCAAGGTGAGATTTTCTTTTTCAGTTTGTATGTTTTATCTTTTGTTACAATGCAAAATCGACTGTGTTATATAGCTTTGTCCCATTGGAATGCAGAGACTTGATAATACAATATGATGGTTGCTTTTTTGTTCGAGTTAGCATATATTATTGCGCAGCTGTGAATTATTATATTCGACTCCAATCCAGGTAAAAATGTTTTGTATGTAATATATTTTGTCTCATCTGTTTTCCATCTCTCCTTTTTGGCATCTTCCTCTGCTAAAAGAGTTATCTTTCTGAAGCCCTTTTTAAGGCGTGAACAGTAGGGAGAAAGGACAGAAACAGTGGGGACTTCAGAAACCAATAGAAGACTCTTTTCTCTCACTTCTGTTCTTTCATCCTGATGCTTATTAATCTAATGCAGTGAAAGGTTGTGCGATTCATGCTGCGTGGGCCTGAACAGCACAACAGGTTGCACCCGTGAAGGCAGGAATCATGCGGCCAATTACTCGGGCGTGTTACATTTGTCTTCTTCCTCCTTCCGTTTACTTTGCATTCACCGTTCAATTCATAAACGTTCTTGTCATCATGTCTCCTCTGTTACACTTGTACGATGCTTTTGATTCTGCACTCTATGATGATGACTACTATTTGAGGCTTTTGATCACTTTTCACAGGGAAAAAGGCAAGCTGGTTGCTGTGAGATGATGTGACTTGTGATCCTTTCTTTTGTTTTCTTCTCGTCTTTTCTGGCGCCTTGGCATGTGGACTTGTGATTTGATAGGGTGTCGAATCTGTAGCAGCAACGCTGGTTGCGTATGCTCTCGTGGAATATTTGGGGACCTGACGTTGTACTGCAGCTTTTGGAGAATCCATCTACTGCAGGAAATTGGATCATCATGCAATGCAGCCGCTGGAAGAAACATTGAAGTGACTATGTAATTTTTGTCTTATAGTTGAGGATTGCTATCTTCTCGCGAGGTCGCTAATTATATTTTTGTTTCATATATATATATTCAATAGAGAGACAGAATGTTCCATTGTATATAATTATAGTAAAGGAGTGACACAAGTTTTCATGTTCTATTTATTTTTCATTTATTCTTTAAATTAAGGTTTTCTATTATTTATTTCATCTCCTCAACAAGATGAAATCAAAATTACATTCTTAATAAATGATGTCAGAATAGTTATTTTCTCAACATTCTTAAGTTCTTGCAATGCCTCATCCTTTGTCTAATAAGCATAAATGAGTCTATTCCTCAAAATTACTTATCATTAAATGTGCTAATTAGCTTGATTAGTAAAGATGACATCGTATTGTTTAAGGTTCTATAATCAAAACTCATCTTCACTATTTATCCTTTAAACAAAATAACTATCAATCTAAATTTTTATAAAATTCAAATATCTCAATTCCTCAGTGGTCAGACCAAAAATTAAAATCTCTTTTAATTTATTTCTTAAAAAATGATAATTACAGTATTATTTCTATGATACTACCATAATGTCGTGAAGTCTTATCAATGGTAATCATAGTAATATCATCCTACCGTATCATCATAATATTGTTCGACAAAAATAATTCTTACTAAAACTATAAAAAAAAATTATTTCCTTCTTGATTAATGATGATTATAGTATTATCATCCAATCGTATTATCCTAGTGTGGGTGATGTTCAAAATACAAAATATTCTTCTTGTGAAGATCATCCATTGTCACTGATTTATCTCGAAGAGGGAGCTTATCTTAATCATGAACTAAGCGTAACAGTAAATCCATGAGCTTAGGAGAAAAGGCATAAGATGAGGCCATCCTTCTTCTCGGATGAACGTATCCAGCTCATGCTTCTTTCTCGTGAGCCTCGCAGTTCTCTTAAATGCAAACCACCACCTCCCGATCTCCCTTGCTTCCTATCCACCAAACCAATTGAGCTGCGACACTAGTTGTAGTACTGAAGAAGAGAAGGAAAGGATGGGGAGTAATGGTGGACATGGAGAGTCCTTTTTCAGGCTGCTGAGCGTCGGTGGCGGCGGCGGTGAGGGATGGCACTCCTACCGCCACTCCAGCTCCACAGAGGGTGGTTCAAGGAGGTGGGGGAGGAAGAGCCCGAGGGACAGGGAGGAGGCCACGGGGTGGTGGGGGGAGAGCGGTGGTGGTGGTATGGTGTCCAAGAAGAGGGTGATGGTGGTGATAGACAGCAGCGCAAGGGCCAAGCATGCCATGATGTGGGCCTTGACCCATGTGGCCAACAAGGGGGACCTCCTCACCCTTCTCTATGTTGTGCCTCCTGACCACCACCACCTCAGGGGTGGAGGAGAGGATGATGCTACCAACCTTGCCAACTCTCTGGCCACCCTGTGCAAAGCCTGCAAGCCTGAGGTATGATGCTCATGTATCCTTCTTCCTATGTTTGATCTCTGCGGGGGAGGTTAAAGATCATCTACCAAAAAAAGTTAACAATCGCATCTCGATTTTTTACCATTGTGTTGATGTTTTCTTTGAATCTGATGACAAGGTGGAGGTGGAAGCATTAATCATTCAGGGAGCTAAGCTGGCAACTGTGCTAAGCCAAGTGAAGAAGCTGGAGGCTTCTGTTCTGGTGTTGAGCCAATGCAAGCCTTCCCCATTCTGCTGGTAATGTAGCTTCAGTGGAGCATATCATAGTAGACCTAACAACACCGTGACATCTCCATCAGAGTGCTTGCTATTCTTAGCACAATTCCTTCTTGTTTCTTCTATGAGGATTTGATCAGTAATGTTCTTGAAACTTTTGTCTGTGGAAATCGTAGCATGTTGAGGAGCAGCAGTGAGGAATTCGTGGAGCAGTGCATCAGCAAAGCCGATTGCTTGACGCTGGCGGTGAGGAAGCAAAGCAGAGGAGTGGGTGGGTACTTGATCAGCACAAGGTGGCAGAAGAACTTCTGGCTCTTGGCCTAAGCATATCTTAACCTCATCTCTCATCCCCATCCCTCTGTGGTTGCTGTAATCATCTCCAACTGCTGTAGAGCAAAGCCCTGACCTTCAGAACGTGTTACTGTTGAACTTGATGTAATGCTTGATGGATCCTTTATCTTGACATGACACTGACATAGTTCATGTTTTCATGGACTTGTTTGATCTTACGAGATTTCTACAGGATAGGATGGATGAGCTTTTGACATTTACCCTTTCTTTTACTTCAGATATTATAAGATTGGGGTAGAATTAGACGTACATTAATGCTTCCGAATATTTTTGAGAGCCCATCATTGGGTGGATCAATATATTTCAGATCCAACTCGATACATGACACAAGCAAATCCTGCATTTCCATGTTGCAGATCTAATGCAGCGAAGAACTTGTCTTCTTTGCTGCCGCCACGTACCGAATCCAAGTGATATCCAGCTGGTCCTTTTTGTATGTCCATATGCGACGTACCGAATCCAATGTGATAGCTCGATCTCGAAAGCTGATTGTGGCGACCTGATCTTTCCGTAATCTTCTCCACAACGAAATCACGGAGACGATAAGATTGCATGGTGAGACGTGTCGATTTTAATGCTAAGTCTTAAGATCCACACTATTAATCATGAGAAACATCGACTCTTTTTGCAGAGTTGTTCTCCTCTGCAGTCAAACAAAAAGACAACACGGCGTTAATCTCATCTTCGATGCGTACTCTCTGATACGAAGGACAAGAATGAACCGTTCATCAAGATCGCTAAGCTTCCGAAATCCAAAGCCGATACGGAACAAGACAAGTGAAACCAGAGATCTTTGTACAGATGAAACGATAAGCAGTGATGCCTCTTGGCGTGCTCTACAGATTCGTCGCAGCAGCAGCAGCAGCAGTCGTAGAGTCACCAGCCATCGCTTCAAACGCTGCTTGCGTCTGAGAGGGCCAGCGAGCTGCTGCCGGCGTCGGAGGCGTCGTCGTCTTCCCGAATCGACGCGAAAGAAGGCATGGAGTACCGATCGGACATGGAGCGACGGCGCATCAGGGAAAAGAGCTTGGCGGTCTTCTTGTAGTTCCTGTACCTGATGGAAGAAGCAGGGAAGCAGCCGAGGGAGGAGAAGGCCTGATAGCTGGATGGCGAGGGGGAAGAGGAGGTGCCGGCGGCGTGCATGGATGGAGGAGGGCTGAGCTTTGGGGTTACTACGTTGGGCGATGCAGTGATCATCGTGTCATCCCCGTGCTTGGGAACACCTGGTTGGATCTCCCACTTGAACGGAATGGATCCCGGCCTCTTGAAGGAATCATCTATCCCCATCTCTCTCCCACCTTCCATGCCTCCCGTTGATGGTGCTCTCTCTCTCTCTCTCTCTCTCCCCTATATGTAAGGGAAGAAGACTTGGTGATAAGTCCACAAGTGATGAGTGTATGAGACAGATTTAGGAAAGAGAAAAGAGAAATAAAGGAGAATAAAGCTTTATTGGGCGAAGACTTCGCGTATCGACTTAGGCCGAGTCAATAAATTTAAGGAAGATGGGTTGTAGTTTCATATATATATATATATATATATATATATATATATATATATATATTATCAATATAATCTATTAAATATTAAATATTTTTCTTACAATATATCGTGATTTCATAAATACCCAATAGGAAATAGAAAGAGTTTAATATTGTGATTCGATAAATAATTATCTACTAAATATAAAAAATCATCTGAATATTTGTGAAAAGGATTAAAAGAGTATTAATGATACAACATATAATGATTTTTATCCGCATATCGATGTAATATGTAAACTATCATATCAACTGAGCATAATAATCTATTCCGATCGTGTTTTTATGTCATATAATTTAAAAATAGAATAAATATCATATACTAACTCAAAATAATATTTTTTGTGAACTTAATACATATATAATAAAAAGAAAATTATAGTCCACTTGATGATAGGGTGAGTTGCTTTCAAAGTCAATTAAGGGAATCCATCAAGAGAAACCAAATCGTTTCTAGTGACCAGTGGAAGCTTCACACGAATGCACCGACCACGCTCAGTTCTTATCACTCGACACAAACTCTTGGTTGAATCTTTGGTGTGAATAGATTAGCCATCCTTGGAAAAGTATTACTCCGCGTTGGAAGGAAACGCGTCTTTCGTTGTGTTCTTCCCAAACAGTGCGTAAGGCACAAACTTCTACCACTCCTTTTTCTTTTTCTTCCTTTTATCCAAAAATAATAATATTGAAATTATATCGACTATGTTGAGATGTATTGCCTTGTTTCTTCGTAAAGGATAAACGATGAAGAAGATGAGTTCTTTTATCTTATTGGCGAAGTTGATGATTCAAGATCATCATCATCATTTGTTCGAAAAATGATAAGAAAGTATTTGAAGGAAGCAAAACAATTGTAGGACCGAAGACAACATAATCTAGTGGCTAACACTACTAGTTTGGTTGTGTACAAATGGGAGCCACTTGGCATGCGAGGGATGATAAGAGCCATATGGAATGAGATGATTAGAGGCAGTCCTCATAAGAAGGGAGGAAGAAAAAGAAGAGGCCGATGGAGGTGCGGTTCATTACGTCTCCATCGATGGTGTAGCCACAGACGCAACATGACAACCAGCACCGCAAGCAAAAGCTTGGCCCGAAGAAGACACCTCATGGAGAAGCTTCGCAGTTCATCATTCCTTCGCACAGCATGACAATGAACTCTTGTTGCTTCCGCTTTCTCTTGCACCTCATGGATGTCACGCGCGGGTCCACATGCATCATGAGCTCTTACAGCGGTCAGCCATGGATGAAATGAAATGAGCGGCTGCAGCGATGAAAAGAGAATAGGAATTGAGATCTAATACTTTGGAAAGAACAGTCTCTTCCTGTCGTATTGTTTTTGGTGGCTCAATCAATGATGGGTTTCTTTATTTATGTTGATACTTGTAGATCCATCTTTATCATCAAAAACCTATACATTTCTTGCAGTCCAAAATTTTTAGATCAATCCAATTATCCATCGCAAAGGTTGAATTCAACATAAAGGTTGAATCTCTCGCTCTGCGCGCTTGGATCGGCGGCCCGCAACTATCAACCCTGGAAGAGTGCGGGGATGGGTAACCACTTGGAGTTCTACTTTGAGGTGCTCGACATCCCCAAGCACTCCTCCCCTCAGGAAATCCGCACCGCCTACAGAGCCCTGGTCAAGAAATGGCACCCTGACAAACACCCTCCTTCCTCCCGCCCCGAAGTTGAGGCCAAGTTCAAAGCCATCTCCGAAGCCTATAAGGTGCTCCTTCCTCGCATCCTGTCTCTACTATTGCCAAATTTGTCACCTTTCTTGTCATTTTTGTGTTTCGTCCCCTCTACTGATTTAGTTCTCCTTGGGTCATAATTGATGAGCAGGACAACAGAGCAATGGTTGGAGCGGAATCACCTGGACACCGGAGCCAGGAGCTGCAGAGACTGCGGAGAACGAGTCGTTCAGGAAGGGAGTTCAATGATGCCTACTGGTGGACCAAGGCCGCCGTCTGTCGAGAGGAAACTTGGATGCACGCTCGAGGAGCTCTGCCGCGGCTGCAAGAAGGAGGTCAAGTTCACGAGGGACATCGTCACCGACAATGGGTATACGCTCTGCTCTGCGATTTTGTTCTTATTTGTCGAGGAATTGCTGTGTGTTCAATACGAAGTAGAAATTGGAAAGATGCTAATTTTCACTGGCAGAAAACTATTCATAACAGCCAGCCTTAAGACATATATGATATTGAAAAGTGAATATTCTATCATTTTTATTCACTTGACAACTTTTTTCTATTTTCCTGATCCGGGCAATCAAATGTTTCTGAAAACCATAGTGTATGAACAGATCAAGCAATTCTGAGGGCCTAGGAAATTTCAATGCCTATGTGGTAGGATAAGTGTATAAACAAGGTAAATCATCTTCATTTAGAAGGTTCTACAAATGTTAGAAATGGTTAGGTCTTGAAGGAAAGTGGAGAAAACATGATGTGAAACAAGTAGATTACTTTGAGAGAAAAGTTCAAAGAAGTGGCTTTATGGTGACACATTTCATAAGGGGAAATTTGTTGGAATTGGTAGAACTAGATTGTCTTAGTCCCGCAGCTGATGCCCGGAAGTGGAACTAATTTTCAATCAATAAATTCTTCAACATCGTACGTAGTTACCTGTTTGTCAAATAGTTGTATAAGATTGCCCGTTTCGATCCCTCGACACACATAATTTGTGTTTTAATCAGAAACATCAGCATGTTCGATCGTTGAGTGGTCCCACAAATGTAACATATAATCAAAAGTAAATCTTATCTGTGCAGTTTAGGAAGATTAACTATTCTTTTCAGTTCAATATTACTTGTTACACAGAGCTTGGGTATCATATCTTTACAAAGTATTCAAGATTACAAAGTTCTTAGTCTACTTTGACCTGCACCTTCTAGTTTCTTAACCGATCAAGCATCTTACCGGTCTGTGGTCCATCATAGTTATATTTGTTCTCCCCTATAATTTATATGAGCTCAGCAGCGTTCTTAACCTCTTAGATCTTATGGCACCAGATGAATTGGCTTGGGCCTACTGTAATGTGTAAGCTTGAAGGGTCTGCTTTACCGTCCGCAAGATCATTAAATTGGTACCCACATGCTGAAAACATGGAGTTGGTATCCAATTGTTTGTTCTGTGTCTTATCCACTGAGTGGTCCTGTGATTTGTTGGTAGGATCCCAGGAGTCGTGATTTCAAACATCTGGCTCCATGTAAAGATTATTTCACTTCTATCTGAAAGTTTTAGTCAAAGATCTTGAAAGTTGTCCACATTTATTTCTCTGATATTTTCCTCGGTGACAAGAATGCAAATGCACCAAATACTTGAAAACTTTTTCTGGTTAGGTATGAACTTTATACTATATCTTCTTCTACCTTGCTACCTGCAGCTTTGATCACCTGGATCTTCAAGATTCTAGCATTCTCTGACAGTATCTTGATTTGAGTGTTAACATGAATGTCAAACTTTCTCTGAGCCTTGTATTTTTCCTGTTGGCAGATTAATTGTTTGTAAGGAGGAAACACAAACAATCTGGATCAAGCCAGGATGGAAGAAAGGAACAAAGATAACATTTGAAGGCAAGGGGGATGAGCGACCAGGAAGCTACCCTGCCGACATAGTCTTTGTAATATCAGAAAAGGAGCACCCCAATTTCAAGAGGGTAGGCAATGACTTGGTTCTGAAAGCAGAGGTTCCTTTGGTGAATGCTCTTACAGGATGGTCATTCTCTTTCTGCCTTCCCACTGGGGAAAAGATGAGCTGCTCTTTCCAGGATGAGATCATTTATCCACTTTGTAAGAGGTAATCTATGAATAAAGTTCCACATTGTTTTCCCAAAGCAATTAAGCGTTGAGCAGCGATCAAGTATCATAGAGCTCCTGAAGGGTGGCACCTGAACTCAACTTTAGATATGTTCTTCCTCCCACTTTCATCCTGTTGTAAATATATGAATCTTGTTCATAAATGTTTTCATGCATATAGAGATGATGGCCATGTAAAGGTGGTAAAGGGACTTGGCTGCATGTAGGACCGTTCCACATTCCAAGAATTCAGTACTCAGTGCTCTTTAGCTGAAACCATGGAGATATCTCTTGCTCTAGGTTATTGAGTGATTGATGAACCACTCAAACCATATTGATGATGTTTTGTAGCCATCTCTTTCCTGTGGCACAAGAACATCTGCATCCTAACTTGATGCCTCAGTCATGATGCTTTCCCCTGTTGGTGAGCTCTGTTCAATGCTTTCCATGGGAGGAATGTCTGCATTTCTTGTGTTCTTTCCCATCTGTTTGGATCCAAATGTGCTGCTTTTCTCCTAAGTTCCTTTTGCAATTGTCCATGCGATGGCCTAAGCACCTGAAGCAACCCACCAAAAGTAATAACCTTACCACTGAGCTAAAGTATACAAAAGTAATAACCTTACCACTGAACTAAAGAAACTTTACCTCTATACTTTCCATAAGTCTAATATAGGCTAGAGAGTCTTTGCTTGCTTCTCCTATTCTCCTCTCCTTCTCCGTCTCAGAACAGGCCTGGAGTTTTGAGGAGCGTTGTCGCAACCATGTTGTGTGGATCTGTAAAGAAACAGGGATATACGATCTTCCTAGGTAACACAATCTACTAGTTTTAAGTTTCGCGGATATTCACAAAATATATCAGTTGAGAAGGCGTTATAACAATATGTCAGTTGTTATATTGAAACAGTGTTTGTCGGTGAAGCCTTCTCCTTCACCGCCTAATACATCATTTAGTTTAAGCGGAAGCAGAATCGTAATTAAATAAGACATGGGCATAATTATAAAGACAGTCACTTCGTGGCCCGACAACGGTCGCGACTTAGGATCCGACGGACGATGCTGACGAGGCCGATCCCACTACCCACCTTCTCGGTTCTTTGTCGTGCGCCACGGTGGCCTGTCGGGGCACAAGTGGTCGCTTGAATCGGAACGCTGGGCAGTAGTCCTGGCATTAGAACAAGGATTTCACCTCACTCCCACTCGGCGCTCGCTTGCTTCCTCCTATAAAGCCGGCTTGCTCTTTCTTCCGTCTCCGTCTCATCTCGAAGCCGTCGGCCGAGGGTGGAAGCCCTCGCCAGTCCGCTTAGTTCGGTAGAGATCTCCGGCCGGAGGGAGGTACTCGTGGATATCCTGCTTTTGCTACCCACGATTTCGTTTTCATTTTTTTTTTTTCTTGTGCTCTGGTCATCTTCATTGTAGATCTTTCCCTTTGCTCCTTTTCTCTTTTTCGTTTCGTTTTTCTTTCTCTTTTTTAGCTTGGTGTTTCTTTAGATCTGGCACGGATAATTGGCTATTTAAGTAAGATGCGAATCTTTTATCTGATATATCCAGGGTACTCTTATCCGCGTTGATTGATGTAGATTTGTTAGTTAGATCTCAACAGATGGGTTCGTTAATCATCAGTAATTATCTGGGAGTTCTCCAATTTGGATCTGCAACCTGTTCTAGAAATGAGACTCTAGAAAATTTGTCTTTTGGTCTTGAATGTTCTTATTGAGATGCTGAAGTGAAAATTTCTCAGATCTGTGAGTCGGTAACTTTAATCGGCCTCTCTTGCCTTTTTGTCGTCTAGAGGAGGTATTTTTAGAATAATTTATGACGATTATATACATGTTTCATTGGTTATTTACTAGCTGACTTACTGATCTGTAGTCATAAAGTGATGCTTCTATGAATGTTAGTATTGCCGTCACTTATGAATATCGTAATTTCTCTTTATTGTCCCTTTCATGTACAAAATCTTTTCTTAATTTACCGAATGAAACATTTTGGTTTGGTATATTGCTAAAGAATGACCAATGAAAAATCAATTGGTGTTCGCAGACAAAATATTTGGATAAATTTACATGCAACAAACATGGCATTTGGGAGAAGCTCAAGGTTGGATGGCAGGGGGACATCCTCATTATGCTCGACAACTACAATTGTCGTGTTTGTCGCCCTTTGCTTAGTTGGAGTATGGATGATGACATCCTCAACGGTCATTCCTGTGGAGATGGCGGATACTCAATCTGAGACTAATGACAAAGTTGCTAAGTCCGATTCTAGGTCATTTGAGAATCGTTCGGGCGATGTCACCAATGATTCAACAAGCAGCGATGGCAATGACAATGAAAACAATGTTCCAAATGAAGCCTATTCTGCATCAGATAAAACAGCTGAAGTGCCAGTAGAGAAAACCAAAGTGAAGGATCTTCCAAAGGGAAGCAATGATTCTAAAAATGAGTTGGAAGATACTTCAAAAACTGGTACCTTTAGTGATGTCGATGGAGAAGGAGGAGGAGAAACAATCAAGGAGGCTGGAGACGTGGATCAGGAGATTGACACAGGTGATCAGGCAGATCGTCAAGACCAGAACATAGAGGACAGATCAAAGGAAGCTGAAAATGATGATGATACTAAAACGGATAAGAAATCAGAACAAGATGAGGTATCAGATGGCGGCAAAAATAAGGATGAAAACAATGAAGGTCCGGTAGAGGAGAAATTGGAGCAAAATGGAGACAAGAATACACCACAAGACTTCGACGACGGAAACAAAGAGGGGGATCAACCAAAGGACACAGGTGGCAATGAGGTCTTCCCATCTGGGGCCCAGTCAGAGCTTTTAAATGAAACCAATACCCAGAATGGTGCATGGTCTAGCCAGGCAGCAGAATCAAAGAACGAGAAGGAAGTGCAAATATTATCTTCACCTGATGGCCAAAATTTTGATTCCACCTGGAAACTCTGTAATGTCACTACTGGAGAAGATTACATTCCTTGTCTTGACAATGTGGCAGCCATTAAGAAGCTACACTTCACTGGGCATTATGAACACAGAGAGAGGCACTGCCCTGAAGAGCCACCAACCTGCCTTGTTCCTCTGCCAGATGGATACAGACTACCAGTGAGGTGGCCCAACAGTCGGGAAAAGGTATTCGTGTGGCCATTATTCTTTTTTCTGTCTATTAACTTCTTTCCATTGTAAGCTTTGGTTTCCTTGCTTTATGGTTTGCCGCAGATATGGTACAACAATGTGCCACATACCAAGCTTGCAGAAGTGAAAGGACACCAAAATTGGGTGAAAGTTTCTGGAGAATATATCAATTTTCCAGGAGGCGGAACTCAGTTTATACATGGTGCACTTCATTATATTGATTTCATCCAGGAGGTACACAAGTTTTATTTACCAGTTTGGCCTTCATCAATACTAATATTACTCACCGTCCTGAGTGCTTGTTAATTTAATCCACTGGAATAGTCATACCTGTTTCCTGGTTGAACTTTTTCTCAGGTTATTACTTATCCTCTACTCTGCACTCCTTGTCACTATTAACCCTGCCAGTTCTGGTTGTTGAAACAATCCAAGTCACTCATACTGTTGTTTCTTGTGCTATTCCATTGACCTATTGGATTGTGCATGATGCATAATTTTGAATCTGAGACTTCTCTTGCAGATTCCTGCAGTTAATTCATGCTTGTTTCTTATTTGCTTACACTTGCTTAGTAACTTCACGTGGAATTATTAGGAGATAATAAAATGGAGTTGGATGTAAAAGTTCTGGATTTTTTTTCTTATTTCCTGCTATCTAGATTCCAGTAAGGTATAACCGTTTGTTAGGTTTTCTGGTTTTCTTACTGACTAGATTAGGTATTTGATGGAAACAATCTTCCTGAACACTATTCAATTTTCTTTTGAGAATAATTGCAGTCATTGCCTGATATAGCATGGGGAAAACGGAGCCGTGTTGTGCTGGATGTTGGCTGTGGTGTGGCTAGTTTTGGTGGTTATCTCTTTGATAGAGATGTTCTGACCATGTCATTTGCACCCAAAGATGAGCATGAGGCGCAAGTGCAGTTTGCTCTTGAGAGAGGCATTCCAGCTATATCAGCAGTCATGGGTAGCAAAAGACTTCCTTTCCCTAGTAAGGTCTTTGATGTTGTTCATTGTGCCCGGTGCAGAGTCCCATGGCATATTGAAGGTACTTGTGTTGATTAAGCTTGTTCTTTCTCTTATGCCATTGGATCTTTGATCTAAAAGTTGAGACCTATAGGTGGTATGCTTTTGTTGGAGCTGAATCGGTTGCTGCGTCCTGGTGGTTACTTTGTCTGGTCAGCAACTCCAGTTTACCGAACTGATCCAGAAGATGTTGGGATCTGGAAAGGTAGAAATCGTGGCTTATATTTATTCTAAGTTTGAAATAGGTTCAAAGGAAGGGCCTATATTGTTTGATTAGTAATCTCAAGGAATATTGCCAAATTATCTATGCCTTGCATTTTAAGTAATCAAATGGCAGCTAGATTGAGTTAACAAATTTTCTGTATATTTCCTTATATCATAAATTTAACTCCTGAATTATCACATCTACATTGCATAAATTAGGGATTGATTGCACAATGCTGATGATACCTCATATCCATCTCTCTGGTAAACTATTTTAAGAAAATGTTTTTTGTGATCTTCTGCCTGAAAAAAAAAAAAGAACTGTGTTCTAGCATTTCACAAAGTGGAGGTTCCCTGTACTACTGACTTCTTTATCTTCTACTAGTATATGTTTTAATTGTTCAAACTATGAAAAATCACTTACATGGTGATATAATAGGCTTCAGCTAGTCATTTCTGTTTCACTTGTTGATGAAGTAGATATATAAAGGCAAACAGTCACCTGGCTTGTCTCTTAGTATATGTGTCAACAAAGTAAATAGGTTTAAACTGTCCTAACCCTCTTTTGGATGCCAGCCATGACTGCACTGACAACATCTATGTGCTGGGAGATGGTCAATAAAACAAGTGATGAACTGAACCAAGTTGGTTTAGCTATCTATAGAAAACCTATTGACAATAGATGCTACGAGAAAAGATCAGAAGATAATCCACGACTTTGCCAAGAATCCGATGATGCAGATGCAGCATGGTATGCTTTTTATTTTGGAGGGAGGGGCTGGGGATCCTTTACTTGTTTGGTTTCATCTATATGAAGTATGTATGTGCAGTTTTGGTGACATCTGCTGGCATGCAGGAATGTTCCACTCCAAGCATGTATGCACAAGGTGCCTCTAGATTCAGCTAGTCATGGGAGGATGTGGCCTGAGCAGTGGCCACAAAGGTTGGAGAAGGTGCCTCACTGGCTAAACAATTCTCAACCTGGGGTTTATGGTAAACCTGCACCAGAAGACTTTGTATCAGACTATGAGCACTGGAAACGGGTTGTTAGCAAATCATATGTCGGTGGAATGGGAATTAACTGGTCTACTGTGAGAAATGTCATGGACATGAGATCTGTATATGGAGGGTAAGCACATGCTTATTTGTATTCTTGTTTAGCTTTGACAGGCATTATTCTTTTCCTGCTACAAGTTCTATATTTATTTATGAAATTCAAGTCGATTGTTGATCTTATCAACATAGGTGCAAACAACAGTGCAAATATTTTACAGTTTGCTTCACAACGACTGAGATTTCTGGTAGAAATTATTTAGTTGCATTTGATATGTGAGTTTTCTTCGATTGTGAGGATGCATGACAAAGCAAGATGTTTTAGGGTAACATGGTCTGGTTAAAACCGATATTCTAGTATATTAATCTAAGTTGAAATCCATTGCCTATCAATGACCCATAAATCTTTGCATAGGTTAATTCTTCTAGAAAGTTCTACCATTGTTGTTATAATTTTTCATGTTGATTTGGTTGTTTAAGGCAGGTTCTTTCTTTCAAATGCTCAGCAACCCTATATGTTTAGAAACATGGCATGAATTCCTCATATTATGTTTTCTTCTCATATTTCCTGAATGTCTTCTCAAATTTTGGACTGTGCTTTATTCCATTTTCTAATGCATCCGGAGGCCTCACAGCAAATTGCAATGTATCACATTTTTTGTGTTTCCTATTAAAATTGTAACTTTTTTTTTTTCAAATTTTGGCAGGATATTATGCCTTAACATGCTTTCCTACATCTTCAGCTTATATCAATGCATTTATTTCTGTTGTCATTTTCAGCTTTGCTGCAGCTTTGCGAGATATGAAGGTCTGGGTGATGAATATTGTCTCAATCGATTCACCAGATACACTCCCTGTTATTTATGAGAGGGGCTTGTTTGGAATGTATCATGATTGGTGTGAATCATTCAGCACCTACCCAAGAACATATGATCTTCTCCATGCCGACCATTTATTCTCTAAAATCAAGAAAAGGTACGAAAATTTCTTTTGCACTTCTTTGAATATGGATATTACTTATTTTATCTTTCTAGATGCTTGAACTAATTTTGTCTCAGTGACATTCATCTTGTTGTTCATCTTAAAAGTTAATTTTATTGCTTTTTTTTTATGCCCGTGGATGAAAGATGATATATATATAGACTTGAAGCGGATAGGATCTTCCTGTAAGTTAGATCTAACTGTAAAAATTACAGGTAAGTGTAACTGTAAATTTAAAACCACTAAATTGAAATGATGCAAAATGAGATTTAAGCTTGCTCATAAGTTACATCTAATCATTCAGCTCATCCTATAATTCACAGTAATCCTTGCAGTGGTTAGAAATCTCTCTCCTTGTCCATAGTTTCTGATGAATGAACTCTGGAGTTGTGAAAGTTCCGGACAAGTTAAAGAGGGCCTAAACTAATGTATGTTAATTTTATTAGGGCTTTTTTTTTATGACCTTAGTGAGTTTTGATATTTAGGCATATACTTTAACCTGGATAGTAACCTTTTTCTGATCATACTGATAATATTTGACTTACAACTATGGCATCTGGATGATCTGCTAACCCTAAATATAATTTTAAACAAAACTAAACATACAGGATAATAGAAAAAAACATCATGAAAAATTTCCAAGTCATAACCTCCAACTTGATAATAGTGATTATCGCGTAATAGATTCGGAGAAATAAGATGCTTTATTAAAATTTTCTTCTCTAAAAGTTGGATGCATTCTAATCTAAAGGATTCCATCAGATGTGCTTGTGTGGTATCATAGACATTTTCATCCAAAATTCACCCAATAATTCCAATTACCAATCATGGTTCTGTCACATTTCCATTTTAGGTGCCAACTACGGCCTGTAATTGTTGAGGTCGACCGGATAACAAGGCCGGGAGGAAAGCTGATCGTGAGGGACGATGTTAACACAATCAGTGAAATAGAGACCACGGTTAAGTCTCTGCAATGGGAGATCCGGCTGACATATTCGAAGGACAATGAAGGCTTGTTGTGTGCCGAGAAGACAATGTGGCGGCCAAAACAGGTCGAGACGAGTATGCCGTAGAGAGTAGGTGTATGAATGCTGCCATTTCTGAGGGAGATGGGTATGGTATGGTTTTTGTCGTTATTTACATTTTCAAGAAGGGGAAAGAAAAAGTTGTGCAAGTTACTAATTTCATAATTAATTCTTCTCGAGGTCAAAGAAATTGTTCTGCTAGAGATTATCTAAGTGCCATTCTCATGTTGAGAT